GGTATCCCCACACCGGGAAGAGGAGGGGGAGGGGGTATCCCCACACCGGGCAGAGGAGGGGGTGGAGGTATCCCCACACTAGGAAGAGGAGGAGGAGGGGGTATCCCCACACCGGGAAGAGGAGGGGGAGATGGTATCCCCACTCTGGGAAGAGGAGGGGGAGGAGGTATTCCCTCACCAGGCAAAGGTGGGGGAGGGTGTGGCAGCATTTCTGTACCAGGCAGAGGAGGAGGTGAGGGGATTGCTGTACTGGGCAGAGCAGGCCCTGTTGGGCCAGGGAGAGGGGGAGGCGGGGGAGCCACCATGCCCAGACCAGGCATGGAGGTGGAGGACTCTGTGCAAGGCAGAGGTGGTGAGGGTGGGATGTTACAGCTGTTTTCAGAGAAGGAGGAAACATAGTGTTCATGGCTGGTTTCAAACTCAGCATGAAGAGAAGGAGGGGAAGGCTGTGACCCAGCCTTTCCTTGACCGTCAGAACACGGAAGGGATGGAGGTGGTGAAGGCTGGATGGACTGATGTGTGTCAAGCTGTACCGATATTCGCCTTGGAGACACAATCAAAGAAATCTCTGAACAGAATTTTGTCTGAGGTCCAGAAGGAGAGGATGGCACAGCTGAGTCTCCACGTTCAGCCCCAGGTGGGCATGGGGGACACTCTGGCAGTGCATTAACAGAAGGCAGTGTCGGTACCCCACCCTCTTCTGTCGGAGACGTCTGGATTGACTTTGCCTGTAAAATCCTTTGATGCCGTACATCCTTTTCTCCTAACCTGAGAGCTTCAAGACACACATCTTCTGAGGGTACCACTCCATTCTGCATCCCATGATGGCCACTGGTCATCTCCATGTCCACAGCAGGGTACTGCTTCTCTAGTTCAGCGATTTTGGTCCTCAGATCCTCAATGGTCTGTTCCAGTTGCTGAATTACAGTTGCCTGTCCCTCAGACTTCATGTCAGAAACTTCCTGAGGGGCAACAAGGACAGACATATAGTTAAATATAAAATAAGCAATAATCTAAATATAAAATACTTAAAAAATTAAGCAAAATATATTTGTTTGTTATATTACTTCCAGAAAGATCCCTTCACAGAAAGATACTACTGGTATTTCTATGTGTCCCCTCTTTTCCACCCTTGGATTTCAAAGTGGTTTATACACATTACCATAAAGTCCTAAGTCCCTTGTTTGTCTAATCTTTGAACAATATCATCAAAGACAAGTAGACCTCTGAGAAGAGGGAAGAAAATTCTGAGTGACAAACCAATTTATTTATAAGACAGTCTTCTCTCTTCCCTTCCTAGTAACATTTGCTATTAGAATGTTCCCTAAAGATATTTTAAATCCTAAGTTTTAAAGGGAATCACTACCTTTTAAAGGTGATCACTGCAAGAGTCTCCAATAAAGTGATGTGAAATATATGACATCCATATGTGCTTGTGTCATACCACTTATATCATGTCTACTGTAAGTTTAATATTTCACCCAAGGCCTTTTAGAAAGTGATACCTTATGTCTCTCCACAATTTATAAAGATGGCCGATAATAACTGTGCCAATGTACGGGTCACCCTCATGTCTAAATGCTGTCATCCTCTCCCAAGGCACACAATCGACCAGGAATCCTTTAAGGAAAAAATGGTTTGGGTGGAAAACAGGGGAAAGTGCTGTGGGTAAATTAAATATGAATAATAGATGAGTAAAAAGAAAAGAGAAGAAGAAGGAATGGGTAAAGAAAAGAAGGAATAGAAGGTCAAGGAGAAGGGAGGACAAACTCCAGTTGTGTGAAGCTGCAATGTCAGACAGATGCTCATGCAGACTTGGATTGGCTCACTTGAGGCTAGAAAGAAAGGTAAAGAGAGAGTGAGAGAGTTCTTCCTCCAGAGAGTCCCAGGGCCTTTCAAAGATGATCCCAATAGAGGCCACCATGAAGAGCCATAGTCCACAGGCACACACATTCGTTATCTGCCCCACATGGGCACCTGAGGCTGACACTCTAGATCTGCTCTTTAAGTATTATGAAAGAATAATTAAGAGGTAATATAAAGATGATATTTAGTATAAAACTAAACTTTTATCCTGTTTGCCCAAAGTTAAACCCTGGACCCAAGAAAAGTCTCCACAAGATTGAAACAGTAATCAAATACCTCCCAAAAAGCTAAAGTCTAGGACGAGAAGGATTCTCTGGTGAATTCTACCAAACATTCAAAGAAGATTTAATACCTTTCCTTTTCAAACTCTTCCAAAATATTGAAGAGGAGAGGATGCTTCCTAACTCATTTTCTGATGCCAACATTACCTTGATACCAAAATCAGAAAAGGACAACACAAAAAAAGAAAATTACAGGCCAATATCACTGATGAACATAGATGAAAAAATCCTCAAAAAAATATTAGCACACCGAATACAACAATATATTAAAAGGATCACACACCACGATCAAGTGGGATTTAGTCCAGGAATGCAAGGATGGTTTGACATCTGCAAATCAATCAACATGATACCCTACAAAAACAAAATGAAGAATAAAAATCATATGATCATCTCAACAGATGCAGAGAAAGCACTTGACAAGATTCAACATCCATTTATGATAAAAACTCTCAATAAAATGGGTATAGAAGGAAAGTACCTCAACATAATAAAGGCCATATATGACAAACCCAGAGCTAATATCATACTCAAGAGTGAAAAACTGAAAGCTATCCCTCTAAGAACAGGAACAAGACATGGACGTTTGCTCTCACCAATCTTATTCAACATAGTATTGGAAGTCCTAGCCAGAGTAATCAGGCAAGAAAAAGAAATAAAAAGCATATAAATTGGAAAGGAAGAAGTAAAACTGTCACTTTTTGCAGATGACATGATTTTATATATAGAAAACCCTAAAGAATCCACCAAAAAACTATTCAAAATAATAAACAAATACAGTAAAGTTGTAGGGTACACAATCAATATACGAAAATCACTTGCCTTTCTATACACTAACAACAAACTAGCAGAAAGAGAAATCAAGAAAACAACCCCATTTATAATTGCAACAAAAAGAATAAAATACCTAGGGATAAGTTTAACCAAGGAGGTGAAAGACCTGTACTCTGAAAACTATAAAACACTGATGAAAGAAACTGAAGAAGACACAAAGAAATGAAAAGATATTCCATGCTCATTGATTGGAAGAATTAATGTAGTTAAAATGTCCATATTACCTAAAGCAATCTACAGATTCAATGCAACCCCTATGAAAATCCCAAAAACATTTTCCATGGAAGTAGAACCAAGAATCCTAAAATGTATATGGAACAAGAAAAGATCCTGAATAGCCAAAGCAATCCTGAGAAAAAAGAACAAAACTGGAGGCATCACACTCCCTGACTTCAAAGTATACAACTAAGCCACAGTATTCAAAACAGCATGGTAGTACAGAAAGAGACACACAGATCAATGGAACAGAATTGAGAGCCCAGAAATAAATCCACATATATATGGACAGCTAACTTTTGACAAATGAGCCAAGAACATACAATAGAGAAAGGAAAGTCTCTTCAATAATTGAGGTTGGAAAAACTGGACAGTGAAATGCAGAAAAATGAAACTAGACCACTATCTTAAACCACACACAAAAATTAACTCAGAATGGATTAAAGACTTAAATGCAAGATCTGAAACCATAAAATTCCTAGAAGAAAACACAGGCAGTACACTCTTTGACACCGGTCTCAGCAGTATCTTTTTGAGTATGTCTCCTTGAGCAAGGGTAACAACAGAAAAAATAAACAAATGGGCCCACATCAAAATAAAAAGCTTCTGCACAGCAAACAAAATCATCAACAAAATGAAAAGACAACCTCTTGACAGGGAGAAGACATTTGCAAATCATAAGTCTGATAAGGGGTTAAAATCCAAAATATATAAAGAACTCAAACAACTCAAAAACAAAAAACAATCTGATTAAAAAATGGGCAGATCTGAACAGGTATTTTTCCAAAGAAGACATACAGATGGCAAACAGGCACATGAAAAGATGTTCAACATCACTAAATATTAGGGAAATGCAAATCAAAACCACTATGAGATATCACCTCACATCTGTCAGAGTGGCTATTATTAAAAACTCAAGAAATAACAAGTGTTGGAGAGGGTGTGAAGGAAAGAGAACCCTCATACACTGCCGGTGGGAATGTAAATTGGCACAGCCACTATGGAAAACAATACGGAGATTCCTCAAAAAATTAAAAATAGAACTACCATATGATCCAGCTATTCCACTTCTGAGTACTTATCCAAAGATGACGAAAATACTATTTCAAAAAGATGCACCCCTATGTTCACTGCAGCATTATATACAATAACCAAGACATGGAAACAACCTAAGTGCCCGATGACACAGGAATGGATAAGGAAGATGTGGTATATATACATACACAATGGAATACTACTCAGCCATAAAAAAAAAGACAAAATCTTGCCATTCGTGACAACATGGATGGACCTTGAGGGAATTATGCTAAGTAAACTAAGGCAGACGGAGAAAGACAAATACCATATGATTTCATTCATATGTGAAAGATAAAAAACAACAACAACCAACAAACACGTAGATACAGAGACCAGATTGGTGGTTACAAGAGGGGAAAGGGGGAGGATGAAATAGGTAAAGGGGTCAATTGTATGGTGACAGATGGAAACTAGACTTTTGGGGGTGAACACAATGTACTGTATACAGAAGTTGAATTATAATGATGTACACCTGAAAACTATATAATGTTATAAACCAATGTTATCTCAATTTAAAAAAAGGAAAAAGAAAAGTGTCCACAAAATAAAAAGTAAACTTTTTCTTTACTCTTTATTAAAGCCCAAAACAAATACGTAAACCACTGGGAGTGGAGAAACTCCAGATGGACAAGACAGAAATGGGTATTCACTACAAATGACACATTTTTGGTGCTATTGGGATATTTGTTAAAAATCTACACAGCTAGTTTTTTTCATAAGGGTAGAGAAGGTATAGACTTTCAATAGTCTTAATCCTAACTCCTGTTGCTTCTTCCCTAAAAACTCTATCTTTAGCCACAACATTTAACTTGCTGAAGATCAATCAGGATATTTGTTGAGAGAGGAAAAGAACTTGTAACTTCAGAGCCACAGCCCTTACACCAAGTACTTTATTTCCCTGTAATCAAAAAATACCAAGTAGCCCTTACTGTGGAAGGAAACTAATTTACTTTCCAACTAGTAAGGGAGTGTAACACACTTTAAATAGTTATGCAAAATTTTGAGAGACACTTTTTATTTATATGTAAATATAGGTATTCATATATATATTTAATACTTTGTCACTATTTTTTGCCAATGTCTACGCAAAAGGCTAAAATATGCTTTGAGAAATCATGCCATATAGTTTCCATATAGTCAACGGTAAAAGAAATAACTATAATAAACAATTTCTAATATCCTGTTTGACCACTGTACTTAATCCACCTTCCAATTATGATGCAAGAAGGAACCAGAAGCCAAGAAACTAGCACCCAAATTCATCCCAACAAAAAGTACAACTGTTCAGCATGTCTTCCCTACCCTGGATTAGTAAAATGTATAGATTATTTTCAATTTTCAAGCATAACCTTAAAAGTGACCTTTAAGCATTAATAAGTATTTTTTGAGTCATCCTGGTATGTAAACAGGGCTCTCATTTTCCCATTTATATAATGATCATATGAAAATATTAGTTGATGAAAGGCATGCAAGAATCTGCAAGAGTTTTCCAAAACTCAATTCTGAAATGTTATTGCCCAGGCCAGCTCTTTTTCATCATAGATTTGAATATAATGAAAGCAGCATAAAGAATACAGGACATGAAGGAGGAGGAGGAAGAGGAGAAATTGATCCTAAATCAGAACAGCCTAGCACAATAGCAATTACTACACCTCTTTCTCCAATGGATGGATTTATGGCCTCCACTT